TCTTAAAAAGAAACAGGAATAGGCCTATAAAAGTTAACCTAGTCCTACTGTATTCAGGCTAAAGACAAAAGAAACACAGAAAAATGTATTCCACACAGTAATACGTATTTTATCTAAGTTGTTTTCCTTCTATTTAGAGGGGACTGCCAACGGTTTAGTCCATAAATAAATATGTGATGTGTAAAGTTAAAAGGGACCTCTGTTCGTGACCTAAAATTTTCAGTATGGCCGATAACAGTAATTAAGGTTGAAAATATCAAAATTAAGTTTTTTATCGATTGTCAGGCCCACTTTTATAAATGGGCAGACTGGGCATATGCCCAGGGGCACCGAAGGTTTGGGGGCGCCCCCCTAACCACCGCCCGCCCGCACTAGGAAAAAAGGGGGGCGCTGCTTTTGGCTTTGCCCAGGGCTCCACTGGCCCTTAACGCGGCCCTGTCGATTGTCATACCCCATTTAACAGTGAACAGGACAGTATCGGTTAAAATATCGAATTGAAAATGTAAAAAGGTCAAAATAAATCCTTTTGTTAGCCTCTACACTGTCTGAGAAAAGGTAGGGACCTAACTCTTGTTGCTCAATGTTATTTTGCCATAGGTAACGACAAGAGGTCCCATTTCCAATATTAACTTTATCAAACAGACTTTAGTCAAAAAAATAATTTTCTTGCATTCTAGTGGGAATTTAGAACACGAAATAAAGTTCAGTTTATGGACAACTAAATATCATCTCACAAATATTGCGGCCCCAACAAGAGGTCCCTTTTCTGAAATTTTTTTAAAAAACTTGTTTTGATAAAAAATTATTTTAACGAAAACTGCCGTGAGTTTAAAAGACGAATTGGTATTGTCTACAAAGAGGACATTATAAGCTTTCTTTTGATGTCAAAATTGTGTCACGATAAAACTGTTTTATGCGTATTTGAAATTTTCAATGTGTAAAGTTATCATCAAATGAGTGGAAAACAATACAACAAAACATTCAACAAACAGTAAGAGGGAGGAACATTTGATCATGAATCATAAAATTCCTTAACATTGGATCGAGACCATAGCCAATTACACTCTAAGCAAGTTACACAAAATTAAACCTTAACCATGCATCTAAAAAATCTAAAATAAAATGTGTTACAAGTTTAGGCTGTAACTAGCGACAATTAACGAATAAAATTCAGTTAAGAGCCATTAAAAAGTAGCCAATAGGCCTATACTTTGTTGCCAATAAACAATAAAACAAACATAAAAAGGAAGAGAATCATTTGCACGAGGTAAAATGAGCCAATGACCTTCTGATAGGATTTATCAGCTGCTGCCTGTAGGTCATTATTCCACCTTGGGTAGTAACAGGGTCAGTGACCTCGGGACTTTAGGATTGTTGTAAACAATAGCATCAGATCTATCTCTTTCATCCCGTTAAAAAGTCATTATGGCTACTATAATGTTTGGAATACATTGTGTACGAAGGTATTAACTTAGGCCTATTGTATTTAAATTTAAATAGTAATATTTTAAAGAAATTACTGAGTAAAAATATTTTTTTGGAAAACGGAGCAGTGCCAGTGGTTAAAGCTTAAAAATTAGGTAGAAAGATGTATTGTAAGATCTAAACTCTATTAAATTCATGGCACTAAGCGGGTACTGTTATTGCCTACAGAATAAGTACCGGTACCAATAATGTAAAGATCAGTATGGTATAGTAGAACCTCACCAACTCAACACCTGGTAACTTGACAGTCTGTTTACAGGGTGCACGCAAAAATAATCAATTTTTCCAGAACATTTAGTTTTAATTAAAATTTAACATTTTTAAGATTATTTACTACATATGTGAAAATACTCATGTAGGCCTAAGTACGGTAATAAATTTATAGGCTATGTAAAAGTTAGTCTGTTATGAATTTATTTATTTACCTAAAGCAATTAAAATAAAAATTTGAATGATCTGAATAACTTGACAAGGCCCAAACTCGACAACCTTCGAGTCCACAAATAATTGAGTTTAAGTAAGGTTCTACTGTACCGGTAATGTTGCTTAAGAGTTAATGAATGAAATATAAGATATAACTAGTGAGCCTGTTGCTTGAAATTGAGCAATTTTCAAGTACCGGTATTATACAAGGAGTTATCAAAAAATAACGGTCATCTTCTATGAGTGCTCAAAATCGAGCAATTGTCAAGTACCGTTATTATACAGGTGTTATTTAAAACTGCAGTAATAACAGTCATAATTTTCGATTTCGATAAGTTTAAAAGACTCAAAGCTCATGTAACTAATTGAAATACTCACTCTATTAATAACGGGTTGAAATAATAAACACTTGTAAAAATATTTTATAATTTTTTAGAATCCGGCCTTATTTTTTAGTGTTTTATACAAATGTTTAACGACTTATAGCTATATAGTAAACATTTCTTGCATGTATTCATTTGATATGACATTAGGTAGGGTTTCTTTAAACCACTGTGATAACATGATTTGTATATTCTTCATGATTTTTTTACTTGCAAAATAAGTTGCATAGCAGAACTGGTAAAAATTATTCATCCCTCCAAGTGATTGTGTATCTGGATTCCTTACTGTTAGACCAGGCCTCTCTTCTACTCTTCTCATACGTCTAGAAGATTAACTCTTAACCTCCTCCTGTTTTTAATATTTCTTCTTTAAACTCAAGAAATTTTCTGTTCTTCCAACAAACCTGATTTACTGTTTGGATTGGTCTATAACCTCCTGAATATTACAAACATTAATATTTACTCACAAGAAGCTGGTGAGTTTCTTTTTGTATACAGCTGTTTTTTGTTTTTAAATCTGTTCAATGTAATTCTTCTGGTAAAAACCCGACCTTTGAAAGGGTCTCACGCCCTTAAGGGTAGGAACTTTAAATTCTAAAACCTTATTGCAAAACTACGAATTGGGTCGAATCTTTTGACACCTTAAACAAATAAATAATAAACCTTAAATAAATAATAAATAATAATAAAAAATAAACGTTGAAATTGGTCCACAAATAGCCTAAGGGAGGAGTAGGGTTCACAAAAAACAGCCCTCACGTATCAATTAAATGATATAAGAGATAATAAGTAATAGGAACCCTAAACTGTAATGTTGAAGCAAACCTGCAAAGTGAAATGACATTTAAAAATAAAACTTAATAGCCCATGACTTTCATCATTGGCAATTCTACGACCTTGCCAGGTGGGGGGGGGGGGCTACCGGGGATGTTCCACAAACAGAGGGGGCGGGGGTCCTCTTCTGAAATATTTGCTAGGCCTATTTTTAAAGTGGTTTAGTGACTTAAAAATCAATTTTTAAAAGGTCTGATTCTGTGTCCAAAAACCCCCCGTTACGTTTTCTTGACAAAGTAAAATGTATGTTTAAATTTATATTTCCAGGGTCCAATGGGGGGGGGGGGGGGGAAGAGCAATGACAACATCTCTTTAGCATCTATAGGGCCTATAACCCCCATTGTGTTAATTATAAAATTTATTAATTGTACAAATGTACAATTAGGAATATATTGTTATTCAATAGCCTAGTTGGAATTCAAAAAAATAAATGGATAATTTATTAGGCCTATTACTACTAGGCCTACGGTACTTTTAAGGATTTTAAGAGTCCTTGGGGCCTAGACGTTCTACTTGTAATTTACAATTAAAGAACTAAAGAAAATGTTTAATCTCAGAGTAGGCCTATAACTTACTACTCGAAAAAATGTTTTGAGATGGTAAATAACTCTTCAGCGGCTGTTTGAAATTAAAGTTACAATACGGTAACTTTTGAACCGTAATTTTTACAGAATTGGGATTTGTAATAAGTTATTTTGTTTAAAATTTAAAGGACCATAACAACACAACTTACAAATTTTAATCGAAACCGGCTTTTTTCTAAAATCAGATTTTTTTTATTATTTATGTTTTTTTTTAGAAAATAACATATCATTTTTGCTCGAGTTATCGTGCTAACGGACACATCTATTATATTATTAAAGTGATACAATCAAATTTTATGTAAACGGTTAAGGCCATTTACCAAATAAAAATATCTAGGGCATATCAAAATGAAGCTTATAACTTAGGCTAGAGTGTGTAGATTTGCCAAAAAGTATTGATATGGACGAAGGGCTCTGCCCCACAGGCTGATTTCCAAAGGGCTACGCCTTGCATGTTTTGGAAGTTAATGTTATTCGATTAATTAAGTAAACAACAGCTAGCCAATTCAATTGACAACATAGTTTGTTTGTTTACATTTTTGTTTACTTATTTTATCACTTACTATTATGTTCTTAAAAGGTGCGGTGAATGGACAGTGAAGCTATTTCTAGCTGTTTGATACAAGTGAGTGATTAAAGGTGTTGAAACACAATGAATATGAGATTGACAAACCATATATGTTGATCGTTCCAAGAGGTTGTCACCGGTCTTAACAGGTCGCCATTTCATTGAAAAGTATTAAAGTAAAGTAATAAGGTATTAAAGACGTCGTGAAAGAGAGCAGCATGTTTAGGTTCAACCGTACCACCTCAGCCACCTTAGGACGTAGTGTATGAAGGTTCCACTGCTTTTAACATGCTTTCAGATGACAATTTCTCGAACTTGGACCTTTTAAATGAAATAGAGGCTAGAGTCAAAGTTGACCAAATAAATTTAATGGTGGCTTCTGTACACCAGTTAATTTGCGGGTAGAACCTCTTGTATATGTATATATAGGGCTATTGATATTAGGGCTAGTAGGCTTACAGCCTAGCCTATCAACAAATCAGGGTCTAGGTAACTTACAAGGCCTAGAGGCTAAGATGTTCAATGTTGTCACAAATAACATTAACTGCCTAACTTAAGATAGTTAGGTTTTTGTTTAGACTAGGCCTAGTCCAGCCATCAGGGAGCATCCTACCAAGCCTATTAAAGTTGCAGGCCTATTTAATACTTATCCGGGCTAAAACCTAGTCAACTTTAAGTTTAAAATAAACTTTTAACAAGTAGCGTAGGTAAACATTAACTTACCCTGCGATATGCAAACAAATCCCTTTGAAGTTTTTGACGCTCAGCTGAGGGCTGTTGCCCTTTATTTCTTATAAATTTGAACATTCCGCTAACCAATGTTAGAGGTTAGTCCATCAATATTTCAACTACAATGTTTCTGTTAAACAAAGTATTGCACTTCACAAAATAATAAGATTAGAACACAGAACTCTCACACAACTTGATATCCAACACTTTCCACGGGGTGATACTGTTGTAAATGCGGTATAAATTGGGCGTGAATTATGTTTATGATGCACGAATTCCTGATCGCACCGAGGCGAATAAAAACAAAAGGATAAGCCTACGCCTGCTTGCTTACGTCAACCTCCTGGTTCTCCCGTTCTCCGCATACAGAACAGACAGAACAGATGCTCACGACAGAAGGTTAGAATAGAAACTATAAAATCCTCTCAAAATGTTGGGAGCAAAGTAAATTTTAAAAATCATCTAAAAGTGCAAACGCAAAAATATTTTCTATTTTAGTCAAACATCCTATCGTAAAGCCAGATAAATTAAAATAATTACAACAAAACTATTATCCTACAAATAAACAATGGTTTTAGTTTACCAGTAGTTTACCGGACTGGTTAGTGGTTGGCAACACTGTTCTGTCTTTTCTGTCCCCTTTTTCTGTGCAGCTTTAGAAATAATTATACAGTATCACAAAACCTTGTACGATTGATCACGTATATATAAAAAATATAAAATAGCGTTAAATATAAATGATTCTTTATTTGTAATGAGATATTTGTTGACTTATGATAGGTTTGGTTATTTATGATTTATACAAATAAGAAACATGCTAATTGATTGTTAACAACACGTTAGCACTCTGCGACATGTATTAAAGCCTGGAGTCTATGCCTCAAACAGTTGTTGTATATTATACTAATTTTTTTGTAGTATAATTTATTAGTATAATACATAATTTATTTATTATACACAATGGGTAGTACAGTGATATAATCAATCATGCATGATACGTTAATGTATAACCATCAGTAATAACCCCCCATATACCATATTTATACAGCATTTTATATTAACCACGTATCTGCCAGGCTGCCATTGGGAAAGTTGGGCCTATTGTATATTTTCAAATCAATCCGTCCTGGAAGCTGTAAAAGGTCTAGTCACAGAGAAGTAAGAAACAGATGATCAATTCAATAGTGGTGGTGTTTTGCGGTGGGGGGCAAAGTCTCGCACCGTCGTCCCCCTCACTTACATGTATTACTACAACTCTCGCGGTGAAGGAAGACCCCGTGAGGCGTGTCCTAAAGCGATAGGAATTTCCGCATAGTGCTAAACGCTCGGGCTTTTCCTTGCTCGTGACAAAACAAATTTCCTCTCCAAAATACCAGAGCTGAAATCGCACGTTTGTCACAAAAGCGTGCTACCTCAGTACCTTAATTACTTCAGTAATGCAGTCACTTATTTTAATCGGTATTGGAGCTAGCACACTATACTATCATAGAATAACAATTTATCTCAGAAGAAAATAAGGTGTTTGTACCTATACATACTTTATTTATGCCATGTATGGCCTTTATTGCCCCCCCCCTTGAGATGTTATTTTGATATATATATATATATGTTAGTATGTTTAATCTATGGTCTAGGCCTCCATGGAACTGTTACTTTAACTCCAACTTCACATTGGACATTTAGGCATTGTAACAATGAAGGTGTTAGCTAGAAGCATAGATAAAACATACTGGTTAGTCTATGCTAGAAGTTATTGTTACTCTGGAACATCCTAACATCCAGGTTGTAAATTCCAATAACCCCTGTAACATACCATTTTTGCCCGCCTTACCTATATAACCTATTGTTTCGGATATATGTGCCAGATTTAGTGCAGGTGCAATCACTATTAAGGAAAAGGATGATTTTTTTAAACTTCGCACCGTAGCCTCGGTTTATTTCTATAGAGTGTACAAGCTGCTGACCAATTTTCTTTATAACGAGTTTTAATGTGAACTATAATTTAACAGCTGATTACATTCATTTCAATTTCGACCACTGTCAAAATGGCAAACAAGAGGAAATAGTTATTTGTGTAACTAGTGGTGAAAGTGGCACTTTGCTGCACACGAGAGCAATGTTTACGCACGAGCCACAGGCGAGTGTGGAATGATCTCGAGTGCCGCAAAGGCCATTTTCACTCGTGTTACACATTATATTTTTCCTACAGTCACTATACAGCATATAAATAATTAGTCTTTCAAACACTATACAACACGTTTTTAGGTTTAGCTGGCAACACAAATGGTGCCCTAGAGAAAGTAGAACCCGCGGTCCGTATCACTCCGCTATTTTTCCTCGGCAAGAAATGTGCTCCGTGTTTTGAGAATATAGTTCCGTATATTTTTGTAATTTGAAGTGGTTTCCGCGCCTAAAAAAATGCTTTAAAGGTATTTTCTTGTTTATTAAGATCGTAGGATTGTTTTAAAAACGTTTAAAAGAAAAGTCCAGAAAGTTCAGAAATACCGAAACTATAAACACGAAATGACAGGTTAAATCTTAGTTATAATAGTCAATCAGCTGTTCATAGTATTATTATTTTTAAGTGTTGCCAACCTATTTCCAAGCGTACACGGATTACGTGCATAATAGAACCACGCTGTTTTGTGTTGTTTTGTTGGAATCCTGATGTGCGGCAAAGTATAAACCGTACGACAAAGTATAAACAGTACGGCAAAGTATAAATATGCAGCAATTAGCAGCTTTCTGTACTATAAACAGTACAAGGAAGCCAACTTTGTCGGGTGACTGTAGGAAAAAAACTGATTATGAAAATGCTGAATAAATCGAAAATCTTATACTCTAATATGACTTATGTAAGTTTTTTGTGGGTGGTTTTGTTTGTTTATAGAATTTATCTCTAAATCAAGAAGTAGGATCTTTCTAAAATTTGAGTTAGGGTCTTAGGGGGTTAGGGGGTTTAGTTAGGGTCTTTTAGGCTTAAAAACTTGATTGGCAAAAGCCAATAGTTAAGGAAAACTTGTTTTTCACGATTCAACTCTTTTGAAAGCTAAGAAAATGTCATTGGCCTTATTGGTTACCAAGGTAAGAAGGATTATGTTTACTTTTTCCTTCTTATTTTGTAAAACTTACTCCCGTAAGGCCAATGTCTAAATTGGTTAAAACATAGATAAAGAAAGCAGCTTAAAATATTGTCAGATTTAGAGGGGTAATTACTTTACTGGGAAATAAATCACCAGTGTCACAACAGCATAATTTTCTGTGGCTAATTAATTAGGTCTTTGTTTTCGTTAGAAACCCTGTTATTGAAGGATATTAATTGATGATTTGTTTAAAATATGAGTTAGGTTGGTTTGAATGCGACTATATTATATAAACTGTAAAAAAGAAGACAGTATGACGTACCTTTTTCCTCATCATACATATCAAAATTGCACATTTTACATCCCTGATGGTAAATTTGATATAGCCTATCTCCTGTACTTAAAATAGTCAAAATTATCTTTATAATGTAAACTGTAATGATATATTCATAATTAATTTGGAAGGGGACATTTTGCGAAAAAAAAATTAAACTAGGAGTTTTTTGTCACCATAAAGTGGCCCTTGGTACTTGTAATTTGGATTGCGTTTAAATTAAACACCCTATGTACCAAAAGTGCACAATAATGTTCGGTAAAAATGTCTCATGTAAAGTTAATTCTCTCAGCTAGTGTTAAGAAGAGTTTTAATTTCAAAAGTGTTTCAGTTGTAAAATCAAGATTTTCCGTTCAATTTATTCGGGACGTTTCTCACAGTAAAACTTTCCTTGTATTAAAAGTGGGTCTTTTGTATGGATAATGTAGTTTTAAATAGCCTTCGTTTATTAGTGAATCTAAATTGATTTGTTTGTGTGTAAGCAGTTTACAAATGAGCTCATGTGTTAAACAAAACCAATAAGATATGGAGTTTCACAAAAAAGTTTTGAGACTTTGTTTTATTCTTTAGAGAAATAGAAAGGAAAATCAACACCATTTCCATATTGTAATCCCGTGTCTAAGGAAATTTACGTTCCTCTGTTCATCTGGAAGTGAGGGACTTTATATATCATTTGTGGTTTAGGACTCAAATCAATATGTTTGTAGAATAGAAGTAAACATTAAAATGGAAACCAAATCCTAATACGAGCAATGTCTGTTTGTTTGTCCGTCTGTAATAAAACCCAATAAGGATTTCTTCTATTGAAATAAGAAGTCAACAACTATAATGAATGAGATTAATATGGCCATAGACAAATAGAATAAAATATAGACTGTCAGTGTCAAAGGGAGGTTCCGCAATGTGCCGCTTGAGCGTGCTTGGTGTTCGTTCGCTGCCATCGTCGGCTCCTCGCCGTATGCTTCAAGCGACGCTGCAGCGGTTTGCGTCGTAACTACACGGCATTCCTAGCATGGACGCCAGAACATATGCTAACCGCAGCACTGCTGACGGTCTATATTGAAATCTTTTTGTCTATGATATGACCTCCATTATCAAATAGTCAAGTCAATGAAGTCATATGACGTTGATAAATCCTCTTAACTGACAGCCCAGCATTATGTTTGTAAATTTATAAACGTCGAGTGAAAGTAAGATACAGGGCCGTCGTGTGGGTGGGGCGACCAGGGCGACCGCCGCGGTCAGGGGGGCGCCGCGGCAAAAGTAATGCAACAAAAATTAAAAAAGTTAGATGCACATAACGTATTTTGGAAAGTTATGCATATAACGAATACTAGTTCTATTATTTGTGTGTGTAACTGAATGTTGAATATTACGTTGTATGCCTTTATTGAACAAATAAATATTATTTGATACCAATCACTTTATGATTTGCAATGTTTTTCAAATTAAATATCAATATAGTATTGAGTTAAATTTAGTAATAATAGCCTAAACAATCAACTCCACTGTTGAGTTGAAGGCTCTGCCCCAACTTAATTATCTCAATATTGCAATGTCACGGTTCGCGGTGTTGCTCTGTACACGTAGCTGCCGTATTCTATTTTTATTTCACCCGACCGGCCGACGGTTGACCTTGGGAACCACCCCTACCCCAATCACTCCTTTCTCCTACGGCATCAGTCTCAGCTGAGCTGCCAGCTTAGTTTGACGAGTTATCTATATTTTTGTCATAATTGTTTTGAAGCTGCTATGCATTGGTTTACCAAGTTTGAGGTGTCGTTGGATAGGTGGCACGTAGATTTGCCATCTATCAAAAATCTTTGAAATTCACTGCAAAACACATTATTAGGGTTCACTGTCATTGAATATTTTAAAGTGAACTGACAGTACAGCAGTTACAATGGTTTGGTTTATTATTTACGTTATCATCAATTAATCAAAAAAGAATCTTTACTGACTTTCACAAAAGAAACTGCAAAAACGGCAGGTAAACTGCGAACTCAATTAGGCCTTTTACCATCACCAGCTTTAGCAACAAAACCAAGAAACGAGATAACGCCAAATAAAAAAATC